TACTCATGCTCATGTCATTACATACAAGTATGGCTCTTTTTTTTTTTTTTTTGGCAAAGGAGATACTTGTTAGGAGAACAAAGCTACTCTTTTTTTATTTTCTTGCCAATTATCTCCTTGTTTTTATTTTGGGGTGAACTATCACTTTAATGCTAACTAATTCTATAGCACACTTTGGCTACTAATACATACTTTTGTTACATTTATACTTTTTTTAGCTAATTTTTGGATAAGAGGTCACTGTAGATGGGTGTAATGTATATTTTATATATAAACTTAAAACATGGGTAACAGAGCAAAAGCTCCCAGCCTCCTACAGATCCTACCTCTATGTAAGTAGGTTATTTAATTGATAACATTTAATTTCAATTTGTGTTTAGTACTACTTACTGCTTTAAAATAAGAAAATGTAAACATTTTAAGAGATTCCCATTGAATGGAATCAGTGGGATGTTTTAGTTAACTTGTTTAATTGAAATTTAAAAATATATTATGTTTAAAATAACGCATTCATATATATATATATACACGTGTGGATATAGATGTAGAGATGGATAGATAGATAGATGGATAGATAGATAGATAGATAGATAGATAGATAGATAGATAGATAGATAGATAGATAGATAGATAGATATAGATAATGTGTGTGTGTGTGTGTGTGATACTAGTCACTAGTCACTGTATTAGAATTCCTTAGATATTCCAAGTAAATGCAATTTATGTGTTTGATTTGATTACTTGTTTAAGCTGATGTGCATGATGTTCATTTGTTTGTATTAGGTTATAGGCTGGTAAGTTCTGTGCTGTGGTTTATTTCGGTTACATGTGGGTCACATCACGTTCCAGGTTTATTGCAGCCTTCATTGGAGCGAGTGGCCATCGAGGCCCTGCAGCTCTGCACGTTACTCCTGCCGCCTGCCAGTCGCCGCAAACTACAGCTACTCTTGCGAATGATCTCGCGCATGAGCCAGAATGTGGACATGCCGCGGCTGCATGACATCATTGGAACGCGGACTCTGGTCAGGAAGAGTCCAAAAACATTCACATTAAAGCAAATACATGGTTTTATTGTTATTTTGTGCTCATTCCTATGTCGTTTATGTGTGTGCAGTTGGTGCAAACGTTCTCTAGGTGTGTCTTAAGTTGTGAGGAGGTGGGTGACCTGGACGAGCTCTTGGCTACAAGGCTGTTGTCGTTTCTCATGGATCACCATCAGGAAGTCCTGCAGGTGCCTGTGTACCTGCGCAATGCTGTGGAAGATCATATCAACTATCTCAAATCACTGGTGAGTCCTGACAAAAATGAAACATCACTGAACTTACTTAAAGGGATACTCCACTTTTTTTGGAAAATAGGCTCATTTTACCACTCCCCCAGAGTTAAACAGTTGGGTTTTACCGTTTGTAAATGTATTCAACCGATTTTCTGATATTTAGAAGAATATCAGTAAACAGACAGTTTCTGGTCTCATTGACTTCCATAGTATATTTTTTTCCTACTATGGAAGTCAATGAGACCAGAAACTGTCTGTTTACTGATATTCTTCTAAATATCAGAAAATCGGCTGAATGGATTCGAAAACGGTAAAACTCAACTGTTTAACTCTGGGGGAGTGGTAAAATGAGCCTATTTCCAAAAAAAGTGGAGTATCCCTTTAAGCTGAACTATGATGCTGTTTTCTTCTGGAAGCATACTTTTTTGCATTATTTTCCTGTTATCTCTGTAAAGCTGCTTTGAAAAACAATCTGTATTGTAAAAAGCGCTATAAATAAATGTGACTTGACAAACCACATGGAAATTACTCAGTGTATTGTAATGGACTTATTAGACGCATTTAGGGCCATTGTTTTGGAGGAATTATACACGGAATGTTAAATTGTATTTAAACCAGATTATTCCTGGTAAGAGATGCCTCTGTTTATTATTTATTAATTTTGTTAATTTGTGGTTCTTCCCCTCACATTCATTTGCATGCGCTCCTGATCTCAGACCACATGCGTAGGCCCTGGTGTTGCCATGCCGACATACTCGTACTGCAGGCAGATCAGCACTCAGGAGTTTGAAGAGCAGAAACTGTCCGTGTCCCAAGCTGCTCTTGCTGACCTCCTGGAAAATCTTATAAAGGACAAGACCATGTCTGTAAAAGAGAAGAAAAAGAAGCTAAAACTGGTATTTATTTACTGAACTTCTCATATGTCATAAAAATCCTGTTTACACAAAAGGGGTTCAAACCAGGAGTAAAACTCTTGAAAGGTTTAATTTGAAGTAAATATTAAACACAAATTTAGTGCATCAAGCAATTTCTGAGAAACACGGTTGATATTTGAAATCAACTGAAACAAACACACCCCTTTCTTCATTGCTCTGCCCCAAAATGCACAAACAAGATAATGCTAGACAGACTGTGTCTGAAATCACATGCTCTCTTGAGTAGGTACTTGTTTTGAATAAGTAATTACCTTACGAATGCTTAAAAAAAGTATGTTTTATATTGAATGAGTGTGTGTAGTATGACTGTAATCTGGATGTACTACATTTGCCATGTTGTCATTATCATGTGACCTACCCGCGTCAGTTCATTAATCCTCTCCCGTGGCCTCATGGATAGTAAAGTGTGCATCGTATATGCATTTCAGAATCTCAACGAAAGAAGTAGGTCATCCAGGTACTTTTATCCGAATCTTTTATGAGTATTGTGAATTCAGACATACTTTTGTCACATACTGTTTTTGCCTAATATATCTATCAGCGCTACCTATTTGGAACCCCTAAAAGGTTCTATACACTCTTAAAAAAAGGGTTCCTCTGGGTTCTATGTAGAACCCTGGGGTTCCATGCTTGGCCAATAGAACCTTTTACCAAAAAAAAATTGTTTCTATGTAGAACCATTTCGGGTTCTAAATAGAACCATTTCTTCTAAGAGTGAAGTATGTGTTTCAGACGCAGCCAACACTCAAAATTGTTCTGTTGCTATAGATTACAACATTTGGGGTTCTGCGGCACAACCTCATATCCCTTCATTTTCGGGTGATATTCCTCTGACATTTTCTCTTTTGTGTCTCTCAGCCATCTCTCTTTTTGGTCTTTCTTCAAATCATCCTCTTGCTCACTCTCTCTCCTCCCCCATCACGAGGTGACACGCCCCCTACTGCTGATTGGCTACATGTGTTTTGTGGCGCTCGGGTTTCTCAGAAATTGCTTTCTGCACCTTTGTATGTTAATCATGGTCATTGTCTGTTAATTTTATTATGGCCTAAAAGCAAATAAACGTTTTGTTGTTATTCTCAGTTTCAGAAGGAATATCCTGACATCTACTTGAGACGTTTTCCCACAACAGAGAGTGAAGCTCAGCTTTTTGCAGATAAACCAAAGATAAAACCTCCAATGCTGTTAAGCCTCAAGAAACCAAAAACCTTAAGTATTCGAAACTGAGTACCTCATGAATGAATGATATTTTGGGAGACTGAGTTTAAAGACCTTTACCTGATCTTTTAACATTGGATCGCATCAGTATAACCTGAACTGTAACTTCAATTGAAGTGTTGTTTTTATGTTTCTTGTGGTATTTCTCTCCCGTGAAGTGACTTTTAATGGTCTTTTCCCCCAGTTTTAATACAGATGTGAGTTTTAATGTTATTTATTTAAGGTGTGTGATTTGTTGTAAGTTATTGGGAGCTTTCAGTCATTCGTATTGTAGTAGTAAGTACAAAACTCAGAGGACCCACAGCAAATAAACATACTGTTTACACAGAGTCTCCTTTAAACAAAATGAAGATTTTTAACATTGTTTATGTTTCAGTTTTGTCTCTTGTTTTTCTATTATCACCTTTTGTGTGTCTGCAGGTGTTTTCAATATTCAGGTTGCACAGAATATGTTTACTCAGACTTCTAAAGACTAACAACTATTTTCTGTGTGATGTGGGAGTTCCTGGCTATTGAGCTAGTGTGGGCTAATTTGCACTGTTTTTCATCTCAAAATTGGCTAGCATGTTATTTCTTTGATTTTTCCCTTTAGTCTATAATGTACTCATTTGTTAATTTTGTCTTTTATCGGTGTGAATGGATCATCTTACACTCATGTCACTGTACTCAGTTTCAGTTGCTTGTGTATTAAGAATGAAAGCCTAAATTTGGATAGAGATTGATTTATCTGTGTCACAGTTTGTATTGAGTTAATGGGCATAAGTGAAACAAATCCATTGCGTTTTATGTTATTGCTTTAATCTATCACCCTAAATACTTTTGTAATACTGTTCCTGATCTATGCAATAAAGGTTTAAACTAAGCATTATTTTCTTTGTGTGATACTTGATGTTTTATTATTGAATAATTGCTGTAGTGCTGCATTGTGGACCTTCATCTGTATTCACATCCAGTCTCCTTTTATGAATGGCATCATGGTGCCCTGACCCCCAGAAACCATCCAAGGAAGTAAACAAAGATAATGTGATGAATGAAATGCCACATTCTTATGTCTTTTGTTATACTACAGACAATTGGCAACTTGTTGTATAGTAGACTTGTTTATTTAGGCTACACTTTATCTTAAAGTGATGGAGTTACATGTACTTAGATAAGTTATAATATTAATTAACTACATGTTCTTACTATAGGGTTTAGTTTAGGAGTATACTGTTAGTACTATAGAAAGTACATGTAAAGGCAGCTTAAAATAAAGTTTTAATTTATTTAATTTTCTGAAATGACAATCTGCACAACAAACTTAAAGATGTTCACAAGAAAGATCTGCAAACGGACCCAGTTCACCACAGGTATTTGAGCCGTAGTGTCTTTCAGGAAGGTAAACATTAGTGAAAATGTTCTGGTCTGGACACAAAGGGATTTTTGTTTTAGAGCCTTCGGAGGAGGAGTTCTGGGAACGGAACAGTTCTGGTTTACTCACACGGGCATCATCTCGCTTCAAAGTCAGTTCAACATGGACAGCCCGTGAGTAATGGAACTTTTCCCTCTGTCAGACTCCTCAGATTGCACGAATGTTTTTTGGTTTTGTCTTTATTCATTGTAAATGTTTGCAAAATGTTGTATTTAAATATTTTTCTTATTCAGTTGTTTCCTTTAAGCTTTATATCTAATAATTTATATAATTTAGTAGAATCAATGCCAAAGAAAAATGAGTATATTTGTATAAGTTTAGTTGTTTTGATTTCTTTTCGATTTCACCTCCTCCTTCTAGCTCATTATGCTAAACTTGTGGACATCTGTTTTCATTCAGTCTTGAACACCCATCCAGTGGCTATAAAAAAATCTTTGAATCATGTGAAGAGTTAGCTGAGCCCATTCCTGCTCATGTCTCAGGTTTGTTTGCTTATTAATCAAGCATGTTCAAGTTTTGATACTTTTTGCTATTTACTTTATGCTTTCATTGAAGGGGAAAATGTTGTTTCAGCTGTGGCTGATGTAGCCTTTGGTATATTATAGACATTTGGTTAAAGGGATGTTCTCCCAAAAATGAAAATTCTGTCATTATTTACTCACCCTCATGTCATTCCAAACCCATAAGACTTTCTTTCATCTTCTTTACACAAATGAAGATATTTTTGATGAAATCTGAGAGCTTTCCTTCCATTGACAGCTACGCAACTACCACTTTAAAAAGTCCATAAAGAGATTGCAGAACTAATCCATATGAATGAAGTGGTTTAGTCCAAATTTTCTGAAGTTACTAGATCTCTTTATGTGATAAACATTGAATTTAGGCTTTTCTATTCACATATAAACATTAATCAACTCGCACATCAGTTGGGGTTATGTTTCTTGACATGCAAGAAAAGCCTAAATGAAATCCATTCATCATATAAAGCGATGGAGTCTTCAGAAAATTTGGACTAAAACGCTCAATTCATATGGATTAGTTTAACGATCTCTTTATGAACTTTTCAAAAGTAGTAGTAGAGAAAGCTCTCAGATTTCATCAAAAAGATCTTTTTTTTCTTTTCTGAAGATGAGCGAAAGTCTTACAGGTTTGGAATAACATGAGGCTGAGTAATTAATGACAGAATTTTCATTTTTTGAATAAACTAACCCTTTAAAGTGAACCTTCTCTCGCTCTCTGCAGGCAAAATCCCAGCATGGCTTACTGGCAGTCTGCTCCGCATGGGCCCTGGGCTCTTTGAGATTGGAGATGAACCTTTTTACCACCTTTTTGATGGCCAGGCTCTCTTACACAAGTTTGACCTGAAGGATGGACATGTCACCTATCACCGCAGGTAAAACCCAAATCTATAAATAAACTGCATCCCAAATTGAGTTTAGGACTACCTAAATGTTTTGTAATAATGGTAGCACTTTGTAGCACTTAGACATTCTCCTAACTATAGGTATCTTTCCAACTACATGTCAAGTGTCTACCAGTCATTTGAGTATTAGTTGATTGTCTGCTTAACACTTTATTTTGTTGGTCCCCCAACAGACATAGACTTATATGTCAACTTATTCTACTAACCCTAACCTAACTGTCTTCTAATACTTTAACAAGAGTTGGTTGACATGTAATTGCAAATTTATGAGTTTTTGTTGGCATTTAGTTGCAAGTTATAGTTAGTAGAATGTGTAAAGTGGACCATCTGAGTTTAAATGCCTGGACTGATTTGTTTTGTGAAAAGTGGTTTATACAATAAAAAACCAAGATTTTACTTAAAGTGCATATTAACTGGCATCTTGAACTTCAGATTTATCAGAACTGATGCTTATGTCAGAGCCATGACAGAGAAAAGGGTGGTGATCACTGAGTTTGGCACCGCTGCGTATCCAGATCCATGCAAAAACATTTTTTCCAGGTCTGAAAAGTATTTTATGTTCAATTTGAATTGGGAATATAATTATAATGCCATAAAATATTTACTCTCAATTGTGCATCCACTTTTGTTATAGGTTTTTCACTTACTTTCAAGGCATTGAGGTGACAGACAACTGCCTTGTCAACATCTACCCCATCGGTGAGGACTTCTATGCCTGCACGGAAACCAACTACATAACCAAAGTTGATCCTGAGACCCTCGAAACGATAAAAAAGGTAGGATTTTAGGTTAAGCTTCAAAACGATGATCCTTTATACTAGTCAACTAACTTTGCATTAGTTGATTATGATTTAGTTGACTATTAGGGCTAGAGTTAGAGAATAAGTTGACATGTTTGCAAAGTTACTTATAGTAGGTAGAATATTACTTATTTAGTTACTTATAGTAGGACCACAACAATAAAATGTTAGCTGATATTATTCAGCAGATAGTCTACTAATACTCTAATGAGAGTTAGTTGACATGAAGGTGCAACATTACTTATAGTCAACAGAATGTCTAAAAGGGACCATCAAAACAAAGTGTTACCGGCTTTTGTTCTGTCACCAAGTTTTTGCCCATTAACAAAAGCATAAATACTGTAGCATCTCTACTTGGTCATAGGTGGACCTCTGCAACTATCTCTCAGTGAACGGTGTGACTGCACATCCACATACTGAACCAGACGGAACTGTATATAACATTGGAAACTGCTTTGGGAAGAACATGTCGCTGGCTTACAACATTGTCAAGATCCCTCCACCACAAGAAGGTTGGTATAATGCTTTGTTGGCATAAAAGGGTCTTATTAATGCTTTACGAGAAGCTGTTTGACTTTTGTATTATTTGTTTAATCAGATAAATCCGATCCAATTGAAAAGTCAAAGGTTTTGGTTCAGTTTCCAAGCAGTGAGAGATTAAAACCATCCTACGTCCATAGGTTGGTCATATAATATAATATTTTCTAAATAATACTATTCATAACTAATATAATGTTATATATTATACAGCTTTGGTATGACGGAGAACCACTTTGTGTTTGTTGAGAATCCGGTGAAGATCAATCTGCTGAAATTTCTGACTTCTTGGAGCATCAGAGGAACAAGCTACATGGACTGCTTTGAGTCAAATGAAAGAATGGGTGTAAGTCCGAGCTTACTTGAATCAAATCATCTTTAAATCGTGGTTAAGTATATGTTTGTTAGAGGGAGAAATGCTCTAGGTATTTTGTATGTTGCCTCATCCTATTTGTTTGGTTGCATTCCCAGACGTGGTTTCATCTGGCAACCAAGAATCCTGGAGAATACATCAACCACAAATTCAGAACATCTGCCTTTAATGTTTTCCATCACATTAACTGTTTTGAGGACCAAGGGTTTATTGTTGTTGACCTGTGCACTTGGAAAGGGTACGATTACTTGTTTTGCTTTTTTTATATTTATTGAAGCTTTAGCTAACACCTCGGAATTGCCTAAATAACACAATACAGACATCGAGAAAATGCGATACAGTGGTGATCATCTGTGGTTCCCTTTCTTTGATTGACAGGTATGACTTTGTGTATAATTATCTATATTTGGCAAACGTGAGGCAAAATTGGGAGGAACTCAAAAAAGCATCCATGAGAGCTCCACAGCCAGAGGTGCGGAGATACGTGCTTCCACTGGACATACACAGGGTAAGAGATATCAGTGTTATTTCAGTGTCTTAGTTTGAATTCGTTTTTATTGATATATTTTCTGTTCATTTTAATTTTAGTATTTTAATACATCAAGTTAAACTAAATTAAAATGAGAAATGTTTCCCTGGCAACTAGCTGAAATAAAATAAGCTTATCAAGTAGTAACATTTTGAATGGTTTTAGCTAACTATAATAACCCTGGATTTCATAGTTCTACCTCTACTTCACCTTCAGTTTGTTTCTTGATCTTTTTGTCTCTATCATTCCAATCCAAAAAAATACATTCCTTTATTTTAACAGTGTTTTAATTAGTTTATGCCTTTGTTTTTGCAGGAAGAGCAGGGGACAAATTTGGTTTCTCTTCCATACACCACAGCCACGGCTGTCATGAGCAGTGATGGAAGCGTTTGGCTCGAACCTGAGGTTCTTTTCTCTGGGCCGCGTCAGGGTAAATAATTCAACACCAAATGACACAAGTAACCCCTTAACTGGCATTTTCCTTTTCTTTTTCCCCCCAATAACTACTGATTTTCAATACTTCAAATTTTAAAAAGTAGATTCAAAGCCTTTTCTCTCTGGGTTCTTTTTGTGTTTCAGCTTTCGAGTTTCCTCAGATCAACTACAGCAAATACTGTGGAAAAAATTACACCTTTGCTTATGGACTCGGGCTAAACCACTTTATTCCAGACCGGGTGGGTGTGACATGTTACAGAAATGTTTTGTTCACGTCAGCGTTTGCTCAGTGTGTGATTTGTTGTATTTTTGTGGGGTTTTAGATTTGCAAGTTGAATGTGAAAAGCAAAGAAACATGGATATGGCAGGAGCCAGATGCCTATCCATCCGAAGCACTGTTTGTGCAAAGCCCTGATGCGAAAGAAGAAGATGACGGTATTCCTAATCTGTTACTAAAACATATATTTCAGATCTGTTTATGCTCTTGAAATAAATACGTTTTTCTCCTGCTTTTCTCAGGTGTTCTTCTGAGTATTGTAGTAAAGCCAGGAGTTTCCCAGAAGCCAGCGTTCCTCCTCATACTCAATGCCGCTGACCTGACAGAAATAGCACGTGCAGAGGTTGATGTCATCATTCCTATCACTCTCCATGGCATGTACAAACCTTAGAGGATCATAAACAGGACTTTGCATGTTGGTAAACAGACTATTTTTTAGTTTACATGTAATATCATTTCATGTTATTGTTGCTATTTTAATTGGACCAGTTATATGACCTGATATGCTTATAATGCTACAGATTGTTGGTAAGCTAATGTGTACTGTTTGAATCGACTTGTAAGACTTGTTTGTTTCAAAAATATACTTTCTACTTCATTTATTTTTTTACAAGTATAATTCCATTTGTACAATTGTTTATTTTACATCAGCCAGAAAATAACAACAGTAAGGCACTGCTGCTGATAGCAGAAAAATTGGTGTTAAAATAAAGATATAACTTTAATAAAAGACCTTATACAAGTTTATTAAGTCCACTGAGGTTTCTGGTAGTGTTACATTCGGAGAAAAGGAGTCCTCATCTTCTCTCTGGACAATTGATACTCTTGTTGCTTAATGATTTTCAGACACTTGCTCAAAACCTAACAAAAGGAAATAGAAGCATAGATTTTATAAAACTTTTATTTTCAAACTCGAAGAAAATTGAGGTTTAATGGAATATCGCAGTATTTATTACAAATGACTTCCCCTCCCATTTGCAGTGACATCTACTCCTGTGTTTACTGGCACGAGGGCGGGACAACCTGTCACTCACATGACATCACGGCAATAGCAAACCACCACCATTAAATCATTTCCAGATAAACAAACATTTATTTCTTGTTCAAGAAGCCGTTTGACTCTGATATACTTCACAAAACTGAAGAAAAGAATATCACAACTTCTGTTTCATTGCATTAGATTACAAAATATCAACAAAAAAAATTGGTTTATTAGAGCACTAGTTTTGCCTCTTTAAGGTATCCAATGCTGTTGGGTTTACTTCAGTGGCTCCACTGAAAACCTCAACAGCTGTTAGTCATTAAGAACATCCAGTGAAAAGTCAGGATTCTTGTCTGTGCTTTTTGGCCTCTTATTTGTAACAGTGAAAAATGCATGACCTAAACCACATAGAATTTTCTTTCGATTTTCTTTTACCTTTCTGGTGTCTTGAGGTAGAATAACACCATCGTCCCACAGTCTGCTGGTGGAAAAGAATGCAGAACTCTCTTCCTCCAACCTTTACATAGACATAATAATTATTAGATTTTTATACACCTTTAAAACAGCCAGTTATGGACATCCTGTTACACTGGCTCTTACATCTCATTAATCTGTGTAATTTCCTCTTCAGTCTCCACAAATGCATCTGAGTGGCCTGGGGCCAAAATCGAAACTCTTGCATTGGGCCACAGGAACAGGAAGTTAGGGTCAAAAGCCCTTCCGCACTAAAAAAAAAAAAAAGTGTTCAGAAAATGTATTAAACTACTCAGAGTGTGTTAATATACATCAAAATGATGGGTTTACAGACTGACCATAGCATAGCTGTCACCTCCATGACATCCTCCAATAACCACAGTAATTTTGGGAACAGAAGCACAAGCCACCGCAGACATCATGGAACCCTGAGCCTTCAGTCTGTTAGTGTTGTGCTCTGCCTAAGAGAGATGGCAAACAGAAAGAGAGGTTTAGAGGAATGAAGTGAGGGAGGGAGAAAAGAGAGCAAGTAACAAAGTAAAACAAGATGGCGTGCGAGCAGGGCCAGATATCAGTCCATTTAAAAAAACATCTTTGTACCAAAGTGGAAACTACTGCAGTTTTCTGTATATCACATGCATGTTTTAAAGTGCTCTTATTTTGCTATTTTATTTTGTTTTGGAAGTCACCTACAATAGGTTTACATGCATCCAAGATAAAAAAAAACAACAACATTTGAGTTCTCATAAAACACATTGCAGCATCCCCTCATTTCCCAGTGTCTGAAATGTTCGATCATGGATCCAGTCTCTCAAAACCCTGCTTTCGAGAGTCTACTCTGCTCTGATTGGTCTGTTGTAATTGGTCTACAACTTGCAGTATGAAACAAAACACCAATTACTATATCTGAATTTCAGCTCAGGACGGTTCCTCAGCACTTGTGATGCGAACAGTAACGATGGCTTCAATCCAATACCGTATTAGTTTGAGCCTGATGTCAAGTGTCAAGTGCATGCCAAGTGGATTTGTGCATAAAACGCATCTTTTCGACATGTTGACAACACAAACCAAACTCTTCCAGGCGTCTCCTACAACTACAGTGTTTGAGGATGGGACAAAGTAGAAATTGTTCACAGGCAGACCATATGAAGACCATAGGCTGTAATTATGTAAATGTGTTACAAGTTTGTGCAGGATGTAAGACTGGGATTACTGATGACTCGTTTCTCGTTTTTTTGGAGACAATAACTCCATTCATCACGTAGTATGATCTTAGAAACTTTGCAGACATTTTACATTCACAAACACTGGAAAAGGACAATAGGGGCACTTTTAAATGACTTCTATTATAAAGAATCTAAAGTAGAGTCTGCATATAAATGTCTTCTGATGCACCTTGGTTTGTGAGTGTGTGTGTGCAGGTTCTGGTGCCGTGTTCTGCAAGAAGATGATAGGAATGTCCCTCTGGTCACACAGCTGAACAAAGTGACTGCCTTTCAGGGAAGCTTCATACGTCAGCTCTCCGTTATTTGCCACAATTCCAATCTGAAGTCTGAAGATTGAGGAGAAGAATAAAAGCAGCTTTGAATCTAATTATAGTAAAGAAAGAAACTAGATTTTTACATTTTCTCAAAATGTAATTGAAGTCTGCCAATGCGAAACTGACAGACACTGATAATGGTTGCCAGGGCATTGCTATGCTGTTCAGAGGGTCTTCTGGTTTAACTGATTGCAATAAGCCTTCATGAAATTCTGGCCCCAAGATATGGCAGATTAATTCATTGTGTTTCATTGTCCACTGGGTTAAAATCGTATGTCTGATGGCTTAAAAAAACTCAACTAGCCACACAATTCTTACACATAGCACAAACGATGTAGTTTAAACTATAAAATATGAGCAATTAATGCAGTGATGATTCCTATGGCAAGCACTGATAATTAAGTAAAGGTGAAAGTAAAAATGGCAACATTTTACAATAAGCTATCATTTGTTAACATGTATTAAATAACATGAAACAGCAAAACATTTGTTACAGTATTAATCTTAGTCAGAGATGTATAGTAACGAAGTAGAATTACTTAAGTACTGTACTTAAGTACTGAAATGCTGTATCTGTACTCTACTAGAGTATTGTTTTTTTCTCATACTTCTACTTTTAATTCAGTAGATATTTTCGATGAATTTAATTCTTTTACTTCGATATTTTTTTAATGTTCTGCTAGTTACTCGTTACAATTTTAGAAATTTTACGAATCATTAGTTGCAAGTTGGCTTTCATGCTGCCTAAATCACATGCCAGTTTTATAGGGTAATGGTATTGATTGACACACACATTGACAACTAATGCAAGGGTTGTCATGCAATGATATTTTTTTGGCGGCCGCCAAAGCAAATTTGTATCCCACCAAAGCGCCTTATTTGATTGCTAGTTCAAACTTTTGACTGCTTTCTTTAATAATTACATGACACAATACTTGTACTTTTACTTTTAGTACTTAAGTAGTGAATTTTAAAATAAACTACTTGCAATACTTAAGTACAAAAAATGTTGAATACTTTAGTACTTTTACTTAAGTGTGGTGCTTAAAGAGCACTTCAACTTTTCAACTACTCAAGTCACTTTTTTGATAGAGCACCTGTACTTTTACTCAAGTCTGGGTTTCTAGTACTTTATACATCTCTGATCTTAGTAAAAAAACAGTTGTTCATTGTTTGTTCACAGTGCATTAACTAATGTTTCAAATAAAACTTTTGATTTTAATAATGTATTAGTATTTAGATGAATAAATGCTGTAAAAGTATTGTTCATTCTTAGTTCATGTTAACTAAAGTAGATAACTAATCAAACCTTATTGTAAAGTGTTAAATTAAAAATACAGAGTAATATTGGACGCATCTCTGACGTACTATGTTTATACTTTTGGTTTCACATTCATTTGGTATGAGTTTCACTCAGAGACACTCTTTGTTTGATCAAATAAAAGGTGCTCGAGGAGATTGGCTCCCATGATCTGAAATCGCAGTAGAAAAAGATTCCTTTTCTTAATCCACATCCTGCTCACATCTTATTGGTCAGACTTGCAGATGTTACATGTGTGTCCTATGTTTACCCAGTTCTTTATGTATTTGGTTCAGCCCTGTTTCCATTTTCCCGCTCCTTGTTACTGTTTAGTTCATTCACCTCCTTTGTCTTTATGTTATTTCCACTAACACAAACCTTAACAGCAGGAGCATAACATCTAATTTTCAAGTTAACAGGGTTAATTTTTTTTATCTTTAGATTTACTTTTCTTATACTGTCGAAGCAGTGTCATCTGATTGGGTTTGGTCACCTAGAAACAACTTATGCACTTAATGTTGTGTTTTAATACTGGGATATAATGTTGATGACTTTTTTTTTAGTTTGTAGAAAAACATTTAACATTCACTCGATATTTACAATATTTAAAAATTCAACTACCATTACCCTTCAATTCTGGCAAACCCAGTGAGGAGGGTGGTACCGTAACGGGCCTTGAACTCCTGAAATCGGCTACCATCGGTCAGGCGGCTCACGATCTAAACAGAGTTGAAAGAAATGAGTAAATGAACACCCACAAACCATGTGAAACATCAGCATGTATGGTGTAAGTCTAAAACTATGCACGCTCATGGTTCATTACCAGTCTGATATCCATGCTGTGATTGTAGCAACGAGGCGCAAGGCCCATGAGATCGTCTGTGCTGTACAGGGGCTCCTCGACCCGAGTGTCGTCTTCCTCTGGAAGCTCATAGTTTAGGGTGGAGATGATGTTTCTGGTACACTCATATGCCTCATTCTCTGCTGTGGCAAAATGGTCCACACAGCCACTCACTCTGGAGATATAGCAAGGAGAAAAGAAATTTACAATAAAAATAGATCATTTAGTTAATATGCATTTACAATATTAGTATTATGTTATGTTATATTAATCTTATTCATAATTGTCTTATTGTTAAAGGGATGCAATTACTTTATTATATTACATTATCAGCTGAGCATATATATATATAGGAGGGATTTATAATATTGTTAATATGCATTTAAAATTATTTTTAAA